GTAGTTGACACCGACCAGTCCACATTTATTGATGTTTGATTTAGCATATGTATGAATCATTCCTCGCTCTATTAGCATTCTCTGTGATGCAAAAATAAAATGACACTAATAAAGGGGGGGGTGCTTTAAAGGCAGAAGCAAAACAGAATCTGCATTGGAGTGAAACCAGAAGGCAATAATAACAATAAGGAATGCCATTCATCATTAACAGTTCAGCAGAAGAATGCCCTCTTCCTTAGTCACCTTAAAGGCAATAAGGAAGGAGATATCTAGCCTCTAGGGTAGTGGTTTCTAACCTTGGGTCCTCAGATGTTCTTGGGCTACAGTTCTCAGAAATCCTAACCAGTAATAGATAGTAGTGAAGGCTTCTGGGAATTTTGGTCAGCAACGTCTAGGGAACCAAGGTTGGGAACCACAGCTCTAGGAGATGGAGTTCAGAATACCTTAGTTGAAGATACTACTGCCTGAAGGCCCTGCCTTGGATACCTACCAACCTCACATCTCTGGGTGGTAGGCATGCACCCAATACTCAGCTGATGGATACAAATTATAGGCTTATATGGGTTTAGCAGATGCTACTTAGGTATTGTGAGTCTTAGCTGTAGGTTTGTGGTCTCCTAATGCATTCACTATTAAGCCCTTCTTATCAGTGTCCCCACATCCCTCTCTTCAATTCAGATTTCTTACCGTCATCTTGTAGGGAGAAGCTGTTTTTTATTTTCTTTGCAAAAATTGATACATTAAGCAGAAAAACCAATATTTTCAGTAGCCAGTAAGCTTTTAGTAATTTTTATTTTGTTTTGCAGTCTTAAAAAGATTTAAGAACATAAAGAGTTCCACTGGGATTAGATCTGAGAACTGGAAGGCTAATGGAACTTCCTGTATTTGTGTTTAATGTTATATACTGTTTGGGAGCCAAACTCTGTTGCCAAGAAGGCAGTTCCAAGATTATTATTAATACAGTATTCAGAACTTATTTTTGTACTACATACACTGTTCTGTGAGATGCAGAAACTTCAGATCCGTTGTAACTTTGTTAAATATTCCTGTGGCTTGTAAGATTGTTCAAGTATGTACTATTTATTTATATTGTATACATTTAATTAACAATTTCATCTTTTTTGAAGCAAAAAGTTAGCTCTTTAGGAATTAATATTCAGTAGCAAGGGAGAAGGGCTAGTCCCTCTACTCCCCCTCTTCTGAATCGCTCTTCTGAACTTTCTGAATGTTTCTTCTGCATCCTCTGATGCAATGGGATGCATGAACGAATGCATCTGTAGTTCTACTGGCAACTGTTACCTGTAGGTATTCGTTATTGTGTGAAATTGCTCTGCAGATGTGGAGTCTCAACAGTGTGGAGATTTGTTAAGTTGTTTTCATATAAAAGCTGTTATATAGGAATTGGCTTTCAGGTGCAAATAAGCAATTGATAGTCCTTATTCAAATAAGCTGCCTTGATGTATGAAATGTGTAGCACTGGATACTGTTGCATTTAATGTGCCAGAATCATAAAGTGGGACTGTTGGTATTAATTTATCTTTTATCTTAAAAGGGGATACCTGTGGCCACTGTTGACTACAATGTGTTTTAGATTTTATGTTGTGAAGATAATGTCTTAACTGGTAGGGGGCCGTTTTGAAAGAGCCATCCCTCAAGGAGGTAAGAGGGATGGCTTTTAGAGAAAAGGCCTTTTTGGCAGCTGCCCCCAGGCTATGGAATGCCCTCCCGACTGAGATTTGTCTGGCACCAGCGCTGATGACATTTCAGTGCCAGGTCAAAACCTTCCTGTTGCAGAAGGCTTTTAATTGAAATAATATCAGCTATGGGTCCTGATGGCAATTTTTAGAGAATATTTTAATTGCATTTTAATTTTTTTGGTCTTTTTATTGTCTTTTAAATGTTGTAAGCCGCCCAGAGACCTTTGGGTAGTGTGGGCGGCATATAAGATAAATAAATAATAACAAAAGTTGAAATGCCCAGTAAGTTTGGTTCCTGAAGCTGCTTAAAAGACATGCCATTTTTTGCCTTGACAAGGAAGTGTTTGGATACTTGTCCATTGTTGCAGCAAGTTACACAAAATGCTTATGTCAAACTATTCCTCGCTCCTCCATGTAACCAAGTTAATACAGGATCACTGGGCAAGTTAAAGCTCTATTATCAGTACGTATCTGTTTGGCAGTTGGGCTGGCAATTTTGACCACCTCAGTCATCTTCCAATTTGGCTTCTTGCTGATAACATGGGATGGATTATCTTAACTGTGTGAATGGTCAAATAAAGAGTGTGCCCTTAGGGAATGTTTTGGTGCACAGTTGGAACAACCTGTCTTGTGAAAAGCAGGAATTGTAACATTGGAAAATCAAACAGGAAGCTAGTCAAAACTGCACATCTAAAATGCATATTATAAACAAGGATTTCAGAGGCAGCTTGCCAGTTCCTAGCTTGAATGCTTAAACAGCTTTCTCAGCAGTACCAAGCAGTGGCTGAATGCCTGTTACCAGAAGTTATGCTGTGTAAGGCTGATGATGTCACTAGCCATGGCGATTTTTCAGAAATAAAAAATTTCTGATTACATACACACACACACACACACACACACACAAAAGCTGTCTGAAAATGGCCAGTGGTGGTGACTTTCAGAAATTAAACATACCCCCTGTCCCACAGATTCCAGAAGCTTGTCCTCAATGAAAGGTAACCCTAGTGAGCCTTGGGACCTTCAGCGGGTAGGGTCAGAAATGTTTAATTTCCAAAAACAAATTTCTGTGGTTGATGGCATCATTAGCCTTACATAGTACAAGTGACACGATAGAGTTTCAGCCAAGATAATGTAAAATTTGTCACATCTTGGGCTAATAGATATTTTCCTGCTAGCATCACCTGAACATACACAGATGGGACATTCAGAGAAGTGAACACTTCATCTTAGGTTTTATTAAAATGTGATTTCTTCAACATACTTGCTTTTGTGCTGCCTAAAACTAATTGTGACTGCAGCATTTACATGAGGAATTTGGGAGTGGGGATGCATGAAGACTCATATAGAAGCCACAGCAGAATGGACTATTGCCTCAACTGTATATCAGAGTGGATAAAAATCAGTGATTTTTAAAGGCCCATCTTTTCAAACAGGATTTTAACAATCACAATTGAATCTCTTAATGTCTTCTCAGTTAAGATAGCTTTTAATGTTGACTTGCTTTTAATTTTTAATGGTATTTTAATTAGCCTATAGTTTAATTGATTTTTAATGTTTAACTTATTATGTTTTCAGTTCTATACCTTTTAATATTGTGAGCCGCTTTGGGTACCCTTATTGACAGAAAAGCAGTCAAATAAACAAACAAATAAATACATAATTTAAATTATAATAATTGTTTATTTTAATTTAAATGAAGACTTAAAGCCTGAAGACTTGAAGCATAACATTTTAAAGTATGGACCTGTCTTATGAAAAGATCAGAGCTGCTTTGAATAACTGATGGGCCTTTCCTAGTTTCTGTTGCGTGTTCATGAGAAATTACTGGTCTGGTCTAATCAGTGATAAAATACACTAGAGTATTCTTTTTTCCTTTTGTCCTTCTTAATTTGGTGTCTCCTGTAGTTCCAAACAGATGGTTTCTTGCTTTTGGTATCCTATTGCCACAGCAGCGGTGAGTCAGTCTGTGCCCTTTCTTTCCTTTCTTTGTCATTGGTTTCCAAAAAATCTGGCTCATTGGATTCATGTCTGCATTCTGTTGGATGTAGGTAATTCAGCAAAGATTGATCTAGACAGAGCATAGGTTCCCAAAGTGGTCTATATGGACCCCCAGGGGTTGATTTCAACTTGTTGGGGATCCATGTTAGAGAGAAAAAAAGTGGAGGGTGCACGAGATGTAAATGGGCGTCTGCATAAAAATTATTTGGACGATCCGTAATTACACCAAATACAGATTCTGTGTACATAATATTTCATAATATTATTTAATTAGGTACTATGTACTATCTGTATTGTGCTGTGCTACAGTCATGTGTAAGTTTGTAAAATTATTGGTAAATTTTTATGGTAAATGTTGGTGTGTTGTAAATGGGATTGACAACATTTTGTCATTTCTCATTACTGAGGTATACGGGCACATACATCATGCTTGTACGTATTTGTTTAGACTTGTATCAAAGCTTTGCACAGACTTGTTTGATTCATAATTGATAACTAGGAGTGTTAGAGATGTTCAGTTGCTTTCTGAGTTTTGAGAAGAAAAGTGGCTTAAAAATACGTTCAAAAATATAGATAGAAAATAGGTAAAAGTCAAGTGAATCAAAATCATCTTTAGTAGTGCCTAAGAAAAGTAAGTACAGTACAGATTTTAAACATATTTTGTAGTCGTTATGATTGCATAGGGGGTCTACGGAAAACAAATAAATTGGCAAGTGGTCTATGGGGCAAAAAAGTTTGGGAACCTATGATCTAGAGTCAGGCCTAATGTATGTAATATGAGGTAGAGCAGGAATGATTTCTGGATATTGGAATTACAATTGTACTGCATATGTCTTGAAAGTGAGCAACCTCTTATTGTGGTCTTCTAAGAAGTTGTTACTGGCCAACAAAGAAATCATTGCCAGAGTAGTTGGGGGGTGCTTTGAGATGGCAGTCATTTGCAGGTCTTCAATATTTACCTATGGTTATTGTCACCTCTGCAACCATGCTAGCTTGCTTTGAGAATTGGCAGTATTTGACCTAGAAAGAGAATTTGAGCCTGGTGACATTTGTAAAGGGATTAACAATAGAAAAATACAAAACCACTTCTGGCCACTATACTACCATTTTTGGTAGTATATTATCAAAGAAGGATATAAGCCAAGGAGAAGACAGAGGTTGGGAATGAGGGACCTCAGTACCAGGAGCTAGCTTTTTGGAATGTGTTGTGAATGTAGAGTCTGTATATGTGTACACATACACATTGCAATTTGTTTGTGGGCTGCTGCTGACCAGACTTCATGACATCTTCCCTCTCTTTTCCAGATTGTTGGCACACGTTTTCTTCCTGAGCTATTTGAGTGGTAATAATTTCCTTCCTCGAGACACCACTCCTTCCACCCCATGCAGCACTCTCTGCGCCCCAAGTGTGTGACTGGTGCCCTACGCAATGTGTGTTTGTCAAACCATGGAGGTGGGGAAGCATGGCAAGAACGCAACCCACACAAGAGGCCGAGGGGTCCTGCTGGAGCCTTTCATCCATCAGGTGGGCGGCCACAGCAGCATGATGCGCTACGATGACCACACTGTGTGCAAGCCTCTCATCACCAGAGAACAGCGCTTCTATGAATCCTTGCCTCCAGAAATGAAAGAATTCACACCTGAGTACAAAGGTGAGCTTCCTAACACCTTTGGAGAATCATGTTGAAGTCCAGACTGTGCCTGCCTTTCTGCTCCTGTCTGGGAAATATTTATCTCTCTCACACACATGCACACACAGAGGAATTGCATGTGTGATCTTTGAGGAGGGGTGGGCAACTTTTGTTGGTATGTTGCTGAGCTCATGCACATCGACATCAGAGATTGTATTGCCTCAGCACTTGGGTGTTCCCCTAGAACTGCTCCACATAGGAAGATTCTTGTGTGTATTAGCTGACTATTATTGTAAACTTGTCAGTGTAAGAGATGATACTGTGCTTCACATTACTCCTGTTGCCATATGTAGCAAAATATAGCTGTTTCAGTTTTAAAACACCATTATTTCATATTGTCAAGTTTACCTTCATAGCAGCCCATTGGAGTTTGAGTCTTTTTACATCTGGAGAACTGCATACGGAGAACAGGAGGTGTCCTCAGTCAGGGTTTCCTTTACAAGTCTAGATCATTGGAAGTTCTTAACCATGACAGCATCTTTCATAGCCTCAGATAGTCAAACACTACCTGAGTTTAGTTGATTAGAGAAGAGAGTGTTTAGTGTGCTCACATTGTTTACAAAGATTGTGAGGAATTGGAAGTAATGTTTGGAAAGTGGAGCAAACAGAATAGCAGATTTTGGAGACAAGAAAACTTCCAATGGTAAGTTGGAAAAGCATTAGCAGAGAAGAATGATGTTCTTGCATAGTCATAACAAAGGCAGATAGAATGCTATGAATGAGCAATGCATTTTTTGCTAGACAGTTTCCAGAGGGCTGGAAGTATCCGTTAGCCAAAGATGAATCCCCTCATCAAGGGGCCAGGCTCCATCGTAATGTTGGTGCTGTCTCACAATTGTGGAGATAAGGCGGTAGAGCATATCACTCAGTAAATAACATGCACTGAATTTCAGTAAAAGTATGTTGACTCTTCCTGAGTACATCTTCCTCTTCAGTGGGTCACAAGGTCTTTTACATTTTTATTAATACCAGTGGAAATATGTGACAAAGCAAAGCTAGGCTGGTTATTTTGACTTTGTTACAGCATGTGACAACATTCCCATTTCTACTGAAATATTCTGTCTTACTGGAGAAAATAGGTTGTATTTCAACCTGGAGTTATTCCAGTTAATATTAAGGCTGATATAGAAGAAGGTGTAATCATGCCTACTAATGGACAAGAATGATTTAAAATTTATGGAACACACTCTCCGAGCATAGGTTCTGGATGCAAACAATAGCTAGACCTGAATGAGGTACATTAAAATATTTATTCTACCTTCACAGGGCAGAGTTCTGACTCCAAAATACATTTAGCTACTCTTTTGAAGTGTCAGCAGAAAGTAAATGGCTATCTTTTGTTTCTCCATTATTAAACTCAGATGGCCAGAAAAGAGGATTTTTGCAAGTTAGAATTTGCAGTCTAAGGCATTAAATAAACCTTGATCCATTTACCTGTATGAGGAAGTTTTTGTTGTGAGAGACTGTTCATTTGCTGGACAGTGTCTGCGGGCTCTAGATCATAGGTTACCCAAAGATGGATCCCTTCATCAGGGGGCCATGCACACATGGCCCCTCCGAAGGCCCCTCCCATGCATGCACGGCCCTTCCCACACCCGTGCGGATGCCCACACACACGCTAAACCAATCTGTGGAGGCAAAAAGGTTGGGGACCACTGTTGTAGCTGAATCCTTTCCAGGACAACTGCTTGGACGATCCATAGTAAAGACTGAATAATAATTTTTAAAAGCATTTGATCTTTTATCAAATCCACTTCCTACAAGTACTGTATGTTGAATTGTGATGCATTCTTTTCTGTATACAGTAAGATGGAAGATGCTGGCTAGACAGCTCAGTATTTTAGGTATCTGGCTGTGGAGCCAGAGCTTGTTATGAGCGGAGGTAGCCCGTGGGGCTTTGTGCAAGCTGCAGAGACCCAGGATATCTCCAGAAGAAAGAGAAACTATTTCAGAGTATTGTCTGCTTGGAAAACCCTGAAAAGGATAGCCATGAATCAGAATTGACTTGATGGCACATGGTTATCATTTTTATTATTATTAAGATGAGAAAAAAGAGTAACAGACATTTGCCATGTTGATAATTAAAACAAAAAGCAATAGCAAGCCCATTGGTGAAAGTGCAGACTTAATTCTTGGCTGCATAAGTACATGAGTGCCCAAAATGCAAAAAACCTCTTGCCCTTGGTTTCTTCCCCCCCCCCAACTCTTTTGTCTTCCATCCCATTTCATCCTTCTGATTTTTTTGTGGGTTTTTTTCCCTTAGTCCAATTCTCGAGCACTGCAGCTTTTTGTAGTGCTAGCTTTATATTGGCACCATATTATTAGGAATATCATGTGAGAAGTCTCACAAGTGGCTTCTTTCTGGCAGGTGTTGTATCCGTTTGTTTTGAAGGAGACAGTGATGGCTACATTAACTTGGTAGCCTACCCCTATGTGGAGAGTGAAGCCTTGGAGCAGGAGGACACGCCGGAGAGAGACCAACCACGTCGCAAACACTCTCGCAGGAGCCTCAACCGGTCAGGGAGTAGCAGTGAGCACAAAGAGGAGAAAGCAGGCCTGGCCTCTGAAACTCCAGAAAGGTACTAGGTATTTACGTCACTCTTTTTCAAAATAGCTATTCAATAGTTGCTTCACTTCAGAAATCCCTTGCTTGGTGTTTGATGGTATGATTCTCTGTAGCAAATTAGGCCTTGTGTGCCCCTGCCAGGTAACTCCTGAAGCTTTAGCACTAAAGGAAAGAAGTGCTTGGTCCTCACCCACTATCTGATGGATGGAAATGCCCCTCCCCTCCTCCTGAATTACTCAGTGAAAGCAACTTGATTTAGCAGCCCAAATGCTAATTTCTGTTCTGCTGTAGTTCCTGTCCACAGCAGCAGGCTTCTTATTTATCATGTTATATTGTGCCAACAGCATCCAGGACACAAAAGGTCTCAAGAGTGTCCATTCAGATGTTCCATTTCAGATGCTAGATGGAAACAGCAGTGTGAGTTCTGAGAAGATCACCTTCAATCCATGGAGTCTGCGCTGCCACAAGCAACAAGTGAGCCGTATGCGCTCAGAGTCCAAGGAGCGAAAGCTCTACAGTATCCTCCAAAAGGCGGAACTTAGCCCTATGTTGGTGTCCACTTCATGATCCATTCTTAAGCCTTGGTGGGCCCTGTTTGGAACGTTCTCTCTTCCAACACAAGAAGAGACCTCTCTTCAGTAGCTGTTTCATAGCATAACTGTAATGCTTGTCACTTTCACCCATTGGCCTTTTTCTGTAGTCCGTCACCAATATTCAAGTGCTTTTTCTAAAGAAGAAGATTAGCTAACAGTGTCAGAATGAGAGTTTATTTCCCCTGCTTATGATTTCTCTATCCCAAGTAATGTGTTCTGTCGGAAAGTAAAAACGTCCCTCTCTCAAAACTGTTATCCTGTGGGTAGATTTTGTATGTCCCGTTCCTTCCCTCACTTCTCTCTGAACCTGTGTTCTCTGCCACAGTGTTCTTTAAGAGAGACCGTGGGGGACTAAGCAAGGCAGTTATAGGGATGTAGAGCTTCAATAGATGAATTCTCCTTGACCAGCTCCTCAGAATTCCTTTTGCTGGAGAATGTGGTACACCACTTCAAACTTCCTTGTGTGCTTGACTTGAAAATGGGGACCAGACAGCATGGGGATGATGCATCTGAGGAGAAGGCTGCTCGGCAAATGAAGAAGTGTGCACAGAGCACTTCAGCCACACTAGGAGTACGAGTTTGTGGAATGCAGGTACTGCATGAGGTGCTAGCAAAATGTAACTGTTGCTGCAGGATTTATAGTGGGAGCAACTGTTTCAAAGTTGGACAACTCCTGAGGAATTTGCTTCCTGTTTTAGAAGTTTGGGGCAGAAGGGAGATCTGTGGGTCGTAGCCAGTGCTCGTATCCAGCTGGTGGCATGGCTTTTCTAAGTCGAGTGGATTCCACTTCCCAGAGCCAGCTGCATCCATCTGCTCTGGAGGGTTGGGAGACTTTCTGGCACAGATGTAGGGCAGCTGCTAGGAGTGGGGAAGGAATGGGTGAGGAAACTTTTATAAAACCTGCTTGTGCAGTGTGGGATTCAAGTCACACATTTTACCCACTCCCTGAGCATGTATTTCTAGTTCTCAGACTGATTTGAAAGCATGTAGAAAAAAGGGTTGTGGATCTGTCCTTTATCCGGAGGCATTGTTTCAGTGGCAAAATGTCAAGATATATACAGCCAAAGTTAAGAAAACGTTCCAAACAGTGAATAATGCTCAGATTGGGAACCGGGAATATTAAGGGGGAAATGTATGCATTTACCTGAGAGTAAATTTTATTGAACACAATGGGATTTACTTCTAACTATACATGGATTTATGCCTTTGTGCATTGTTGGGGAGCTGATACTGAAGATTGCCAGCTGTTTTAACAGTGGAGTTCTCAAGTGTCATGGTGAGCTCCCCTTTATGAAATTAGATCAAGCTAATGAACTGTAATTAGACTAAATGTTGGTAACACAACCAGCAGTGCCTATGCTCCATTTTAAGGGAGTTGAGGTCTCAAAAGGTTGCAGATGTGCTATGAGGTTATTACTTCTGCACTTAAAGAAAGATTGTGGTGAAAGGCACAGGAGGGTTGGAAAATGGTGCACTGTTTTCAGGGTACCTATTCAGTAACATCTCACACAGCAGTTTCCCATTCCAAGCTGATTCGTTATGGGGCATGTGCTACAGTGTTCATTTCATGGTACTCAATGGGGTCCTAGTTTATCAGACAGGGCTCTGTCTAGCCATTCCGTGCTGAAAGTAGACCTGGCCTCTGAAATTCCTCCTGACAGGGCTCTGAAAGTAGACCTGGCCTCTGAAATTCCTGTCATGAGACATAATGTTAAAATTACTCCATTTGGTGCTGATTTCATTAGCACCCTCTTAATGCATCCTGAGTGCTAAGCAGGTCATTTTTTTTGGTTTGCTATAAATCAGTTCCGACTTGAAGGCACAAGTTGAACTGACTTATAGCAATCCTAATGGGGCTTTTGGTGGAGGTGAGATATTTAAGGAGTGGTTTTACCAGTTCCATGCTTCCAGTGAGTTTCCATGGCTGAGTTGGAATTTGATCCCAGGTCTCCTTAGTCCTTGTCTATCCACTACACCAAACTGGGTATCCCAAACAGTGCATTTTTTCTTTATTTGAAACCTAGTAATCAGCATGGATGGAAATACAATTTATATTGTGTAAAGCTATATAGGGACTTCCACGTGGGTGGCATCACAGTGCACTCCAAACAGGAAAAATATATGTTAGTCAGGGTGTTTCCTCAACTACCCTGTTTCCCCGAAAGTAAGACCTAACCTGAAAAGAAGTCCTAATACGATTTTTCAGGATGCTCATAATAGCCGCCCAGAGTGGCCAAGTGACCAGATGGGTGGGATATAAATACAATCAATTAATCAATCAATAAGCCATAGCCCAAAAATAAGCCCAAGTTAAGCAAATCCCCGCCCTCCACCATTGTGCAGCAACCAGGAGAAAAAGACATGGCTATATTTGAATAAATGTAGATAGTTGTACGTGAAGAAAATAAAACATCCCCTGAAAATAAGCCCTAAGGCATTTTTGGAGGAAATATTAATATAAGACCCTGTCTTAATTTTGGGGAAACATGGTAGGTCTGATTGTTCTCTGTTAGCTGAAGATATCTTCACTGTTTGAACAACGGAGCCCTCTGCTGGAGGGTGATCACCTGAAATGTAGTAAACCTTTGTACTGCTTTCTCTTGATAGTCACAATTCTGTATTTCCAAGCTGACGTGTAGATCTACAATGCAGAAACTCTTGATTCAATTATCTTGCAGTAGCTTATTTTTACTCTGAATAAGCATAAATTAACAAAATGTCTAGTTAGCCTGTCAGCAGTTTCTCTGAGTGTTTAATCCAACTGGATACAGCCTGTGATTCTATGGCTAGCAGTACCATACTATATTTAGAAAGGAAATCTTGGTATTCCAGAAATGCAGAGGTTTCTTTTCAGGTACTGCACAGAAAAATAGTGGATAATTACTTCATTGTAGATTCTGTATTTGAAACCTGCTAATAAACCTGGATAGAAAGCCATTTTATATAGTATAAAGCTACACGGCACTGTCTAGATCAGGGGTCTCAAACTCAATTTACCGCTGGAGGCAGAGTCTGGGTGAGGCTGAGCCGCATCAGATTTTCCGCCAAGCAGAGTAAGAGCCCGAGGAAGTCGCACAGGAGTTTCCTTAGCCCAGCTGAGGCTCCGAGGAGGAGGAGAAGGAGCGCATGAGCCCTCCGACTCCTTCTTCACTACCACCACCACTACCAGCAGGACGAAGAAGCGGAAAAGGGAGGGAGCGCTGGCAACTGCCTAGCCAGGTGGGGAGGAGGGCATGACATAAAATTAAAAAACCCACAGAATCGCCTTGCCAAAGGAGAAAAACCCCCATCGGTACCTGCGAAATTAAACAGAACAGGGCGAGGCCCCCCACAGGTGTGCTCGCATACACACAAAAAGCACACACGGAGGTCTGGCAACCTTCCTCTGAGGGTCCCCCTCAAAAAAGGCGCACTCAGCAGCAGCAGCTACCCCCACCACGACAGAGGAGCAAACTTTGCCAGGCAAGCCCAGGCAGCCTGCAGAGCAGAGGCAGCTGAAGCAGGATGAAGAGGAGGAGGGGGAGGAAGCACTGCCGGACACTGAGGTGGCCGCTGGCCGGGCTGGTGCTGGGGGTGCCGAGAGAGAAAGAGAGCCAAGGAGCTGCTTCCCTGGAAGAGACGGCAGCAGCGGCAGCTGCTGTTGGCGGCGCTGTTGGAGGTGTTCTTTGAGGACGGGCTGGGAGCGAGCTCCGCCTTCAGGCATCGCTCAGATGCTCGGGGAAAAGGACTGGCAGTGTGCCTTGCTCGCCGGCTCTCCCCCAAGAGAGCGCCTCTTGCATCCTCCATCCGGAACTGCAGTCTGCCAGCCGGCAGACAGGCGGGGTGGCTGGCAGGCTGCAGTTCCGGATGGAGAGTGCAAGAGGTGCTGTCTTGGGAGAGAGCTGGCAAGTGAGGTGAAGCTTTTTTTACTCTTGACAGCAGAGGACACGTGGGCGCTTCAGGGGGGTAGGCAAGGTGGGGGCTGCAAACTGGCAGGCTGCAAATGGCCCCCGGGCCACATGTTTGAGACCTCTAGATGTTTCAAGTGGGTGGTATCACACAGCGCTCAAAACAGCAAAATGTATATTAGTCAGGATGTTACCTCAAGTACCTTCAGTTGAAACTAAAGATAGGATTAGGTAGTTAACAGTAGTTTTCTTTTATTGATTTTATGACACTGTATATTGCTTGCATTATTCTATTGATGAGATTTGTATGACTATGTCGTAAACTGCCCAGAGTGTCCTAAACTGGGGAAGTGTACAAGCTAAATGAATGAATGAATAGATGCTTACAGTGCTTAAACATGTCTGTTCTGGCTTCTAAACTATTGTATGACTTCTGTCTGCCTTGCAGGTTTATCAGCTGGATACAGGGCATTATTTGTGCAGGAATAAATACTATGGTAGAGGTCTTTCCATTGAGGGTTTTCGCAGTGCTCTCTACCAATATCTCCATAATGGTGTTGAGCTACGAAAGGACCTCTTTGAGCCCATCCTTAGCAAACTGCGGAGTCTGAAAGCTGTGTTGGAGAAACAGGCCTCCTATCGCTTCTATTCGAGCTCTTTGCTCATCATCTATGATGGGAAGGATGGCTTGTCAGAGGCACACATGAAGCCAGTGGACCTCTCTCCCACAGACAACCTACAAGATTCCAGCAGCACAGAGGCACCCACTCTCCAGCCCAAGGTGGATGTCCGTATGATTGACTTTGCACACAGCACATTCAAAGGCTTTCGGGATGACCCCACTGTACATGATGGCCCTGACATGGGGTATGTCTTTGGACTAGAGAGTCTTATCAACATAATAGGACAGCTGCGAGATGAGAATCAGTAGCCTTGGGCTGGATTTCTTAATTTTTTCCCTTGGTTATAGGAACAAAAAGGACCACAGCTCCTACAGAGAAAGCAGACCCTGCTGCTTTGAAAATATGATGTTGCTCCAACGTACTTAATTTCATCAAAGGACATGACACCCCGGACGATCCTGGCAAAATGGCTGTGATGATCCTGACCTGAACTCTTTGGTGGGAGAGACAATCTCATGGACCCTTGTGTTGGGCATTTTTTACCTGGCACTTGGCCCATGTTGTGCACAGCCCTGTGCTTATATGTCTGTTAAGAATGTGGAAACTAACTCCAAACAAAAGAAGAGGGGTGATATTCTAGGGGGGTAGATTTTGGAATTCTGATATCCTCCTTCCTCATCAGCCTTCAGCTGAGGCTCTATGGTTTGAACTTCTCTTCTTTTGCTCCAAAAGGGCATTCAGATCCAAGCAAACATTAGTTATGGGGCTGATTGAGGCACATGATTTGCACATACTCCACTCTGCTGTTGCTGCCCCAAGCAGATGTGAGAGACTCTTCTAGAGGTTACAGATGATACTTCATTTATCTTCTCCGATCTGGGCATTCTCAGATTATCCCAACTGGGGAAATAAATGACCAAAGGAAAATAAGTGCAGTGCTTTAATGGTTTTGTTTTGCATCCTGTTGGTGAAGTTTGCCTACCTCCCCTCACTGTTTCCTGCAGTTGATAGAAACGCCAAATTCCAGCATGGTCTGGTTAAGTGTCTGCATCATCATCAAGGTCTCTAATGTTATGGAACATTCTGGCTGCTTAAGCTAGTGTCGGTTTCACATTCAGTCTGATCCTTGCATATAACCAATTAGGCATGTGCTGTTTCAGATCTTGATGATGTAGTAGTCTCTGATCCAGCCTCATTCCAATCCAAGCAGTACGGTGCTGGATTGCAGCTTCCCCTGCTTCTGTTCCCAGCAGGCATCCTGCTGAAATTGAGCACTTCCATACCACTTCCACCCACAAAAATAAAGTACCTGTGAGACAGTTGATGAGAAATTTGGGCATCTTCATTTTTGGAACTTATCCCCAATGCAGAGGGAAGTATCCGTCTGGCTCTGAATGGTGGCCCTCTTCTGAAAAGTGCTGCCACCTGGGTTTGTTTTGACCTCAGGGAATTGGTGTTTGCTGGCCTTGTTCCTCTGGCTAGTGACTTTTTGAATGCAGCTGGGCCATGTTCCAGCCTCATGTATGTATATGGGTTTTGTGCAGGGGTGGGGAGGGGGTGAGGAGAGGTGTTAGTGGTTTACAGCATTAGTAGTGACAGCACTAGATTACTGTATGGATAAAATTAGTTTAAAGCTCTTGGTGGTTGTGAGAGCTGAATGATCTGTTCCTTGGGAAACAGTCACTCTCATTAGGGCTGGGCCTAGTACAGAGAAATGCACTAGACCTCTTTGAAAATGCACTTTGTGGGGAAGGGGTTTGCTGCCACAGGGAATCGCTGTCGAGGCATTACAGTTGAAGACAGCTGTCCCACGTGTTTACTGATGGATTCATTAGGAAGGGTTCGCTTTTGTCCTAGAGCTCCTGGTTTCTGTATTGAATCTTGTGCTTTTCTTTTAGACAGGTATAACCTTCACAGGTCCATCTTGATAGTATTGGTGGCTCTCTTTCATCAAGGAGTACCTGGTGGAATTTTCTCAAGTGCCAGGCTGTGTAGTCTGCAGAAGCAAAGCTTCCTGATGCTATTCTGCACATCACGAGGAACGGAGGGGGAAGCCCCTTTTTTCTGTTGACCAACTCAGCTCTTGTTCTACATCTTGCTGTTTGCCAGGTGTAGCCTCTGTAACCAGATATCTCTTATGCTTGGGAACAATGCTGTTTTCCCAGCATTACTTTGACTCCCAGATCTTTAAGGGGAAGGTTTTGTTTTCTGCTTACCCCTGCTTTGACCTCTTCATATAAAGTTTGAGGAATCAAAGTAATTGTCGTGTTTTGGTTCAACTGCATCCTTCATGATTGCTGTGAAAATCTACACCACATAAGAGGGTTTTTTTATCCCAGCATGAGTTTTTATATAATAGGGAAGAGTATAGAAAAGTATTCTCTAAATTTCAGTGATTCCTTCCTTGAGTCCCTTATTTTAAAATAATATTTTAAAACAAACCCAACCCAGTGGATTACTGAGATCCTCACGTCAAAGAGCATGTAAATAGCACTCCCCCCCCTTTTATGTTTCCTACTTTTGTTTTTATGACACTATAATTCTATTTGTTTGCTCCAAAAGGAACCAAAAATACTAAAGATCATGGATTTGTCAATGTTTTAGCATTGTGTCAGTTTTCAGACCATGGAACTGCAAAGCACAGTCATGTTCAATAGCAATAAGCTTTCCGAGCTGAAGTTCTTTAATTTAAGCAAGTGACATGGTTGTGACCAAGGTTCCCTCTAAGGCGTGCGTGCGCACAGGCACACAGAGCTTGGTCAGCACTGCAGCAGCAGCCAGGGTCCATGCCCGTTTACCTCCGGGTTTCAGATGAAACCCTGCCCACCACGCACAGACAGGTGAGGCTCCTGCACAGCAGGGGTGGCCATTAGAGGGAACATTGCTTGTGACTATTTTTAGAACGAGTACCTTGCATATTTGAAGGGGTTTCCTTTCACTGGTAGAGGTCTGCTTGCAACCAGGCACCATAGAAATGGAATAGAAATGGTTTCTTCTGAGTCCTTGCAAGATGCCTGCCCATATGCTGCCCCTTGGCAAGTTTTTGGTGTGTGCCTGCACACAAGTGCTTGTGTGCAGCCTGTCTGGACTGAAGGAGCTGGAATTCAGATGTATGGGCAGAGCTGTGTATGGAAACACCCACAGGGTTTGTTAGGCAAGTACTCATACTGTCAGAGCAGATGAATTCAAATGTATTTCACCGTAAGAGTTATTTTAAGCCATCCCTTTGGCCATGCAGCAACATTAGTTTCTGCAGCTTGACATTTGCTTTGGATTGAAAATGAGGCTGCAAGGTAAAAGTGCCTTGTGGAAGGCACTGAGCAAGAGATGGGCAGGTCTGAAGGTAAAAAAAAGAGTGTTTGCCCGCAGCACCTCATCTCCCAGTTGAGGGATATGATGAACTCTTGGTTGAACTTTGCACCTTTTGAACAAAATGAAATATCCTCTGTGTTTTGTAGTAACTTGTGGGATCGACCCACGAAAGAATTAATGGAAATCTTACATATAACTGCCAAGCAGGCAGCATAGTTCGCTGCTCTTAGTAATTTCTCTTGGTGGCAGTGGAGGTTCCTACTTGTTTGCTAGGGAAAAGGAGGCCCAGATGCTGAAGTATGATTAGAGAGGTTTGAATACCACCACCCCCAGCCTTGAAACAAAGGGAACTAAATTTGCCCCAGGTGGCACAGTCTGCCCTGGGGCTTTTGCGCAGTATTCCATCCTGCTCTGTTTTACGGAATAAGTGGGACAATGTTTTTGCTAACACAGGATCCACATTTCTTACAGTGCAGTTAGTCTCCTGATACTGGTCATATTTATGGAAATCTATAACTTTCCTGTTGCTTCTACCTCATTGTCTAAAATATAATCCTTCAAGATAGTAATTAAACTCCTTGTGCCATTTAGAGGTATTGTCAGAGAACTGGAAGCTAGATTGCAGGTATGTAGATGCCAAGAGTAATGTGCAAAAGCACATAGCCTAAGATAATATTTGGTTGACTCTGAAAAACTTAAAAGTGAAGAAATTACACCACCACCACGCCATGGTCCTTAGTTAGAACTAAGGTGGTGTTGCTTTTTCATGTGATTTTAAAAGCTCATCATTAGACAAGAGTGTAAACAGTCCTATCTTGAAATATGTAGAAGACCCATCAGGAAAATATGAGCATACTGTACTTTGGTAAAGAGGCTGCTGATCTGGACAAATGTGTCCTGCCAAGCCATTTTGCATGCATGCGATACATTCAGGTCCTATTCTGGAGACTTGTGTAAATAATCTTTGCAGTCTGTTTCTCCTGGAACAGCCCCGCTTGTTTGTTGCCCTTTACGGCTTGCTGACACATTTATGTCCAGTAGCGTTGATTCTTGTAGCAGGACTTTGCACGTACTGTGTATTTGCCTTTCACGTAGATGATAAATATGCTTTTTCAGCCTTCTGGAATACATAGCCAGCTCTCTCTCTCTCTAGCAATACATAGAAACTGCTAGTGTTGGTGTATGAACAATATAGGGGTTTCCCTTATTTTACCACTAAGGGCCAAATTTGAGTTCACATGATAAGTACTCAGTTTATTTTGTATTGATGGCAGCTGCTGCCTTGGAAGTGTCTCTTCCTCTCCTCCGCAGGAGGTGTACTACTGCACTGTGCTTTTTGTTAATAACTCACTTTTCCCTTTTAGCTGGAACAGGAGCCACCTTCTCTTTCTTAGCACCTTTGTAGCCTGGACCTGCTGCACGATCTTTCCAAAATATCAGATCAGATATTTCCCTTTGAACGATGGAGAGTTGCACTTTGGATAATGCTCAGTCTAGATTACTCCAAAGAAGGCCCTTTGTGTTTCATGGGGAAGGTTTTGTGATATGAATTTGTCTCCTACCTTATCTATTTCTGCACCTGAAACAAGTTCAAGGAAGAAAAGGAAACTTAGTTTCTCTTGAACACTAGTGAATCCTGAATGTCAGTTTCAATTCTGTAGCCTTATTCACCTGCCTGCAGTTAATGTTTCCCATGTACATCACATCTCCCCACAGAGGACCAAACCAGAGCTCAGATCAGAACCCAGCTGCCAGCCTGCTGCTCGCTGACTAGCTGAGATGGTCAGCAGGAACAGGGAATGGTATCCTTGCTAGCCAATAGTATCTCCTTTGAGAGCAAGATCAACAGCTTGCCACAGCCCTGTGCACCCGCCCACCCGTTCTGCTGCTATTGGTCTTTATTGCACAGGTGCAGCCTGCGGGCTATGCTGCTCTATGCCAATTTGAGGGAATCTGCTTTTCATGGCTTGGTATGAAATGGTTTATTTTGTATTCAAAAGAAGAGGCAAGTTTTGTTGGTTTCACAGACTACTTCGTGACATTCTGGAGGTGGAGAAGGGTGGGGGACTCGGGCTGCAAGGCCGATGTAACTGCTTGTTTTACAATAAGTCTGGAATGAATCATCCAAGTCAGGTTTGGACTTTGGTTTTATTTGTACTATTACTGCATGCTTATCTCAGGAGCAAAATGTTGTTTTTTATATACTTTGAGAAGCCTTGGTGTGGAATGGTCTCTATGAGAACTGCTTGAAAGGGGAGAAATGTTACTGTGAGAGCAGGGAACAGAACTGTGCCCTGCAGGAATGTTTCCCTTCTGTCTCTTCTGACTTTTCTGGAGAGATGCAGCATCACATCACAAACATCTTGTATATTTTTCATAATCTGTTTCCATGCCACTTTGTTGGGCCAAGTCAAGTTTTGGGCATGAAAAATAACAATTATCTGTATACCATACACTGCATCCCTAGCTCTCCTATTGTGTATAAAGTCATATGTATATATAAATAAACTGTTAGACATTTAATAATGGACATGTGTCTTTGTATGGATACTTTCTACTCCAGCAGCCTTAGCAATTTCACATACAGAAAGTGCATACATGCAAGATTGAACTTTATTACACAGCCTAGGCTCTGAAAACTCGTTGAGAATGGACTTAATTGACATTACCTGAGGAACATACAATCATTCAAAAAGCTCAGGCAATGCTTTGGTGTCACAGTTTTCTTTCTTGCTTCCTCCTTCCTTTCAGTTTTGTACATTAGGACTAAGGAGGTTATCTTTAGGCCTCCATTCTAGACTGTTCTCAAACCTCTTGGTTAATGTGAAATCACTCTGTGTTCTGGAGAAGTAGAACCTACAGTCATTACAAAACTAAAAAATACTTTAGTTTTGCGTCTTTTGAAAAACATGAACCTCAAAACAAGCTTTAAAATACAAAGGCTCCTAAGTGTGCACATGCATGTGGAGCTCCAGCTGCCAAAACTATTAGTGCGATCTACTGGGGAGGGGGGCAGTTTTGGGTGATCAGGTATACAGCCAGCACCTCATTAGAGGTTGGAATTCGACATGTACACACATTAAACAGCATCTTGGTCCCTCTGTTCATTGATTTTACAACTCTGACCGTTAAGTTCCCACTTTGATTTTTTGACTACACTTGAAAGAAGAGGTTTAGATTTAATGAAGAAACAAAACTGAGAAGAGTGTGATTAAACTGATGGATATTAGGTGCAGGGTAAGAAAGCTGGATGCATCTCTGCCCAATGAGAGACTGTGGACTGCATACCCAGATGGGTATGTAGTCAGAATACAGATGACAAAATCCCAGACCCACCTATAGAGCACAAGGAGAGAGGAGAGGAATTATTGTTTAATCCAGTATGCCAGTATTGAGATTTCCTGACCTGTTGGCATAAGATGAATCCACCTGTAGCAGCAGCTCTCGTTGGAAAGGGCCTTTAACATGGAGAGATTAGTGTTTGTTAGGACCACTGTCCCACTAGGGAACGCTGCTTCTTCGGTCAGAGAGCTTCCAGGTATTTATGCACTTCCTTTACGCTGGGCTGAGTCCATTCAAACACTAGCAGAGTGTAGCACAAACCCCTTCCACAAGTCTGACCTTAAAAGCTTTGCATCACTTAGCCTGTTACTTAGCATTTTAAAAAGTACAGGCACCTGGGCTTTGTGATTCCTTAGAACTCACTAAAGCTCAGTGTGGTTGGACTCTGTCTAGTAGCAATCTTGAGGCCTATCCGCCTCTTGGGTTTTGGCTTATCAGTTTGCTGTTCAAGAGACCAATATTTTTAAGATTAAATTTTTATTGAAAAAAATAAAGATTCACAGAAAAACAGTTTGTTGCATAAGCATAGCATTTGAGTACATTCCAGAGATTATTGCAATTAAATAAAAACAACTAATTCCCAGTTAAGTAAAAACCTCTAAAATATCTAAAAAGCTTTCTTCAGGGTAGGCAAGGGGTTAAGCCCCCCTCTTCTTTCTCCTATTCCCTACATTCTTGATCCCTAATCCTGGCATAAGGAAAAAGGAACTAAAAAGCTCTCTGGAACTAAGGGACTCTTCATATAGCACAACGTCCATTTTTCTACCTTTCCAATCTCCTCCCTTTTCATTGTCCATTCAGTTATTAACCAATTAAAATGTAGGGTCTGTAAAACTGTTCTCCAGCCCTCTTTCCCATGAGAATGCAGGTGTTTTTCCTTCTTCCAATTAGGCTGGAATGTGGAGTCTTCTTTCCTTTATCTCGTCCTTCGCTGTACCAGTCTGCAGAAAACATTCTCACAGCTTCTTCAGGAAAACATTCTAAAGTCCTTCAGAGCATTCTGACATAGAACCATTTTGAATCAGTGCTACATTTCTCATGACTACAGAAATCATTAAAATTACATGCTTTAAACCACATAACTCATGATCACAACAGTGTTCTGGCCCAAGAAATGTGCTAAGTTCTACTTCTGAAAAAAGCATAGAAGAAAGTATTGCAGCTGCTTCCTTAGAACATGAGCATAAATGGTAGCAAAGTTCTGCCACCAGTACATCACTAAGTGAGGTTTAGCAGGTGAGAGAGCGAAGGGTTTTGTGCTTTCTCACTTCTAACTTCCCTTCTTCACTGCTATGGAAGCTCAGCAGCAAGTGTCACAGGGAAGCCTGCTGGGAGAGCAAGCCTAGCCAAGCTCAGGACACAGAGAGGACCTTTTCCATCTAGGCCTGCTGTGTCTCAGCACTATACCGATGGCCTAAATGGCAGCAATTCCAAGCTAGTGTGAAAGTAGCTGATCTGGTGCAGTGCTGTCTAGTTCAGAGTGTTTCTGCTAGTACACTTCCTGTTATTTAGAAATTCATGGTTAGCATTAGGTTATCACTGAAAAGAAGATACTTTTACAAAAATATAAAGGCAGGCAATTTCCCCCATCTTGTTCAACTAGCATTCCAGGTGTCCTTCCCGTCAGTGCTGTGATTCTGCATGAGCATAGTGTAGGATCCTGCATTCTCAGAATAGCAGTTTTTTAAAAAAAGTTTCATAAGGTTGTGAATTGCATGTACTGTATGTGAACTATGTTTCTCGAAATCTCAGAACTTAAAGAGGTAAGGTTTTCCAGAAGGGGTTCAGTGGTGTGCATACCTTCTTAGTCCTCTCAAAACATCAGAAAAAATATGTAAGATGGTCCCAAATGCAGAAGTTTCCATTAAAAAAACCCCTATGAGTTACATTGGTTATAAATCACATTCTTGAGATCCCAAGTTCTAATTTGTCTCTCTCTGGTACACACAGCCCTACATACCATTCAGCCCTGTAGTGGTCAAGTGCTGTCTTGCTCAGCTATAATGTATGCATTTTCACTGCTTACTATAGAGTATGCTACTTTCTGCCAAATGCTATGTTCTGTTGGACTGGTGCTCAGCTGCTTGTATATATGCATTCTTTCCCTTCCCCTCTCAGCCAAGAACAGCTCCCGCTCAAGCAAGGCGAAGAAGAGTACAGTATTTTCTCCTGCATTTTAGCATGCTGTACCCTAGATGTTGTCAGCTTTCAAAGATCTGAGGTCTACATATCCCCCATCCCTAGACCTTCAAGGGCTGCTCGTGTATACTTTGAAATATTTTTTATTTAATCCCTTCTGTTTTACTGAAGAAGCCCCAACATATCCTTAGTGGCCAATTAAAAAAAATAAACAGGGTGGAGAATGTGGGCTGAGGCACTGGTTTGTTGTTTTTATGTGCCCTTTGGTGACTATGAATGAGTGACATCCAAAATGTCCCATCTTCAATAGCCCTGCTCAGCGTTTGCAAACGCAAGCCTGTGTCTTCCATTACAATCTGTCTCATTGGTCTTCCTCTTTTCCTGTTGCCTTCAACTTTTCCTAGCATTATTGTCTTTTCCAGTGAGTCTTCCTTCTCATGATATGTTCAAAGTATGACAGCCTCAGTTTTGTCATTTTTACTTACAGAGCAAGTTCAGGCTTGATTTGACCTAGGATCCACTTGTTTGTCTTGCTGGTGGTTCAGGTTATTCCTAAAGCTCCTCTCCAGCACCATATTCCAAATGAACCAATTTTGTTCCTGTCAGCTTTCTTTACTTTCCCACCTGTATATGGCAACTGGGAATCAGCCTTCATCTCCAATGGCACGTTCTTACATGATTAGCTTTCATTGCTGCCCTTCCAAGCCTCAGTCTTTTGATTTATTGGCTGCAATCCTTGTTGGCATATTCTTGACAGTTTCTCTGTGGCTTCAGATAGTTCTATTGGTATTCCATTTTCCCATGGTGATTTACAGTATTTCTTTCAAATACTTTCAGTTCAGCTTTCCCTACACTTTAAAAAAAATGCAGTTTATTCATCATCATCACTGTGTTCTTTTTCAGAGGGCTCTGTAATCCCTTTATCTCTTCAGTTTATTAGCCTAGTCAGATAGTAAGTTTTCCTGTTGGTGTTTCAGCATTCCCAATTCTGTTTTTTTCTCCTTTTTTACTTCTTAGGTCTCCTGGAAAATATCTCTTACTTTCCTCTTTTGTTGTTCTATTTCTTTGCAAAGTCCATTATAGTAGTTCTTTGTCTCGATGTAATTTTGGGGGATTTTTTTTAGTTATGAATAGGGCATTTCATACAGGCAGGAAGAAAGAGCAAAGGTGGGAAACATTTTCAACAGGATAGCCATTTGCTGCAAGTGATGCCTTAAGCATTCTTGTAAGAGTTATTCTATTTAAATGGACAGTGAGTGTAGCCATTAAGTGGTATTAGATGTCCTCTTTTGCTAATGAGTTTTTTTGGGAGGGCAGGAAGGGAGGAATGAGCACATAAGATTACATGAATTCCAGATTAATAATTACACTGGTGATTCCTAACTGAATGGTGCCTTTGGAACAGAGATGGGAAAATAAGAAAACAAACAAACAAACCAGGATCAAGGACCAAAGGATCAAGAAGGAAATGGTAGCTGTGTGTGAGCCACATCACATAAACAACAGAAGGACTTGAGCGAGAAAATGGTATATTCCTCAAGACAATCTCTTGGAAACAGGCTGCCAGCGAGAAGATGCCTCTCATTCCATCTTAAACACAGTTTCATGGAGGATTCAGACATCATCTTTCCATCATCTTTTCTTACTCCCCCTCCCCCCACTCATTGCTTGCATCCTTGTTCTTCAGGGGTGGGAGCTGCTGCTATGGAGTGAGAGGGTCAAGATGCATATTGTCCCTTGATTGGTCACATTAGGTGCTGTTTATTTATTTACAATGTTTATATCCGGCCTTTATCCTCAAGGGCTCCAAGGCAGCTGCTGGCTGGAAGTGTCTACAGTTGTGGTTGCCATTCCAACCTCCAAGCCTTGTTGCGAGGTGGATTCATGTTGTTGCCACCATTCAATCCTCATTATTTTGTCACTGAAGAAAATGTTGTTTCCTATTTCATTGCTGGCTTTATTGCCCCACGTGTGTTGAGGCAGATATGCAAGAGCTGAGTAGCTGTCACATTGAGCTGTAGCATTACAGTGCTGAGCATCATCTGTC